ACCAGAAAGGAAGAAGTAAGAGAATAGAAAAAGGAAAACAGTATCTACCAAAAAAATTAACAAAATAACAGTAGTTAGTCCTTGTCTATCAATAATCATCTAGAATGTAAATAGGTTAGATTCTCCAACTAAAAAATAGAGTGGCAGAATGGGTAAAACAAGATTCAACACTATGCTATCCACCAGAGATTCACTATACATGTAAGGACACACATAGTCTGACAGTGAAGGACTGTTAAGAAAAAATTCCATGTAAATAGAAATGAAAAGGAAGGAGGAGTAACTGAACTTATATTATGTAAAAAAGACTGTAAATCAAAAACTGTAAAAGACAAAGAAGGTCATTATATAAAATAAGATGTCAATTCAGTAAGAGGGTGTACCATTGTAAATATACAGGCACCTAGCCCTGGACTACCAAGACATATGAAGCTAACACCAGCAGACTTGAGGAGATAAGCTGCAATAGAATAGTATTAGAGGATCGCCATACCAGACTTTCAACAATGGCTGAATGTCAGATCACTCAGAAAAAAAAAAAAACAACAAAAAAATCAGATTTATTTCCCCCCGTAATTCCTTCTGTTTTGCGGCACTGAGGGTGAAACCCTGGGTCCAGTATGCTAAACATATGTTCTACTGCTGAGCTATCCTTCCAGCCTTGACCATTGGGTTAAAATTGCATTCTAGACCAATGGACACGATAGATATTTCCAAAACAGTCAATCCAACAATTGTACTCTGTTCATGAGAATGTAAACTAGTACAGCCATCATGGAAACAGTTGGGATATTTCTCAAAATATGAAAAATAGAACCACCATCTGATCTAACCTGATACAGATCCAAAGGAAAGCAAATGATATGTTGAGGAGCTATCTACACCTCTATGTTTAGTGCAGCGTGCTTCACAATAGCTAAGCTATGGAAGCAGCGTGTGTCTGTCCACAGAGTTGTTAAAGAAAGTGTGGTACATACACACAATGGACTACTATTTGGCCTCAGCCAAGAAGGAAATCTTGTCATTTGTAACAATGTGGATGAGCCTAGAGGATATAACGTTAGATGAATAACCCAGGCACAGACAGACGAACACCATGTGACTTCACTCGTATGTGGAATCTACAAACATTGATTCACAGGAGTCCAGAGTAGAATGGTGGTTATCAGAGACTGGCATAGTTATGGGGAGGGAAGGCAGTGGGGGTGTAGATCAAATATTTTATAATTATTTTTAGGTAGAAGAAATAATGTCAAGATTTTTACTATGCAGCATAGTGACTAGAGTTAATGATGATATATTGTATTGTGGAAAAATGGTAGGAAGTATTTAGCACTGTTACTAAAAAAAGAAAATGACTAGATGAGGTAATGAATTTGCTTACTAGCTAGATTTAACTATTTCATAAAGCATGTTTATGTAAAATAGTCTGTTGTACATGATAAATACCTGTCATTTAAAAATATAAGAAATATGAACAACTTGAAATTTGCTTGGAATTTCCAGAATAAGTTAAATATCAATTACTGTAATAAACACAACATAAAATATTAATCTTATGAAATAACAAAAGCAAAGGTAAATTTGACATGTTTTTCTCCTGTTACCCTATCATGACTATTCCCAGTTGAGAAAAGTTGGCTCAGGCCCAGGGGAAAAATGACAGTTTCCATGGTTTCACAGCACAGAAAATGAACTATGAGGATTTTACCAAGGCTGGAAGAAAAATAGAGATGTCTTTCAAACAAAGCTGAAGGCATAGTGCGGCAGTAATCACTTACACACAAGGAAATCTGGAATTTGCAGAGGCTCTTGCTTGGATGTATTGTTTCATATCAGCTTTACACTGAAAATAACTCTAAGGGGGTCAGATTCCCTTGCCTGATAAGTGTAAAAACAGTATCAAATTTGTGCATTCCTAAAACTGGGAAACGATGGGAATCTTGGTTTTGGTACTCTGTGCTGTGCTTCACGCATTCACTAAGCATTTGTTGAAGGGCTTTTAAAGGCAATGGATATAAACATGGATGAAGTACAATCCTTGGCTTTTCAGGCGGGTGGGGAAGCAGCCAGTAAAACCTGACAAATTCTGTAGCAAAGTCATACCTAAGGAGCTCAGCTTTGAGTGAGGTGGGGACTAATGTTTGAATGAGCTTGAAAGATGAACAGTATTTGTTAGGGAAAGGAGGGGCGGTTACAGTGCAGGTGGATGAACCGCAGAACCCAGGGATAGAGAACAGTGCGCATCAGGCACATTAGGGACTTCGTTAAAAGGGCATGCAGCGTGCAAGGAAAAGTGAACATTTGGACAAAGTAAAAGAGATTCCTGGTTATCTTTCCAGGGCTGCTTATCTGAACCTACAGAGACAGCACCTCATGGTCCTTAACTAGGTATTTTACAACTCTATAGGACTTACAAAAAACTGATAGCAATGCAAATAATTCCTGTCTATGGACATTAAGTAAATCTAGTTCTGGTTGAGGGAAAATATTCTCCTCTCCCCAAAAGTAGGCTTTGCATCCATCTGCAAGTTTATTTTAACATTCCCAATCCTGTTGTTTGTCTGTTCTTTGTTTCCCCCCACTTTTCAACTAGCTGTGTCATTTTACAGGTACTTGCTTTTAATTAATGAATAAAGAAGATTTTTTGGACTCCCTTTATATTTGTATGAGAATTGTGAGATCACCTCTTTTTAAAAGGAGAAGGATTAGGTCAAACTGCAAAAGCTTTTTTTTTGTGATGCTAAGGAGTTTAGGCTTTCTCCTAAAGACATGACTAGCCAGTGAAGAATTTTAGGGATGGCATGTGCTGTAGCTTGGACCTAAAAGTCCTTCAAAGGCTTTGTGTGCAGCATGGTGCTATTGGGAAGTTATGGGAATTGTTATGGTTTGTGTCTGGACGTCCCTACAAAGCCTCATGCCCTCACTTGGGCTTCTAGAATTTGTGAGTGATTCATCGTCCAGTGCTGGGATTATGGATGTGAGTGCTACACCCACCCTAGGGCAGGCAGCCCTCATACAATATAAGGGACAGAAAGTCTTCTCACTCCTCCATTTTTGCTCTGTTGCTTTTGCTGTCTTCTGCTACCATGAAGGGTTGCCCCTCTGCCTTGTGCCTCCCTGCCTGTGGAGCCAGCTGATTATGGACTGAAATCTTCACAAACTGGGAGCTAAATAAATCTTTCCCCCTTCAACCTTGGGTGTTGAGTATTTTTTTTTTTATTTTAAAAAGAATTTTAAAAAAAAGAGCAATAGCAAACTGCCAACAATGTAGACAAAAACAAAACAAAGCAAAAACAATGATACAGGGTTTCAGAACAAAATGTTAAGGATTAACAGTGATTGTTATATTATGTATTTCTATCTTTATCAGAGTTAATTAGATTACCAATGTAAGAATGCAAGATTAATCAAACCATTAAAGAGAATAAAAGATAAAAGCAAAAAAATTGTAAGCGATACAGAGTTTCACCAAACAAGAAGATAGGAATTCAACAATGGTTGTTATGTTGCATATTGTTGTCTTCAAATTAGTTGTTCAGATTACCAAATATAAGCATGCAAAATTGGTCAATAAATAAATAAATAAAACATTAACTGTTCCTTTCAATAAACCATTAGACATCAGCAGTACAGTCATCCCAGCCACCCTGCTGTATATATATATATTTTCTTTCTTTCTTTCTTTCTTTCTTTCTTTCTTTCTTTCTTTCTTTCTTTCTTTCTTTCTTTCCTTCTCTCCTTTCCCTAATCCCAGTTGTTTCCTCTTTTGAGCAATTTCTTTCCCTTTCACAATATCTATTGTACATTTTGGGTTCCACTTACTCTTTCAAGTTCTTACACAAAGGAGACAACATGATGTTTACACATACGGGGTCGATTTATTTCACTTATTAGTATTTGCATTTACCTATAAAAGCCTCAAGTTTATCTTTTTTTATAGCTGAGTAATACTCCATTGTATAAAAATACCATAACTCGGCATCTGAGATGAATACACACTTCTCAGATGAAGAAATACTAAAGGTGAATAAATATATGAAAAAATGTTCAACATCATTGGTTATCCAAGAAATGCAAATTAAAACATGCTGAGATTCCATCTCACCCCAGAAAGAATGTCTATCATTAAGAAACCAACCAATAACAAATGCTGGAGGGGCTGTGGGGGAAAAGGAACCCTTCTCCACTGCCCATGGGAGTGTAGACTGGTGAAACCATCGTGGCAATCATTTTGGAATTCCTTACAAAACTGGGATTAGAGGTCCCACTTAACCTAGCTATTCCCCTTCTAGGTATTTTTCCAGAAGAATTAATAACATCATACCACAGCGCTATAGGTGCACCCATGTTTATAGCAGCACAGTCTGTCATAGCTAAATCTTGGAAAAACCCAAATGCCCATCAACTGAGGAATGGATAAAAAAGGGTGCTGAGTTTTTTCTCTCAGCAAGGAGGGGGAAGTAACCAACACAGGAATGTTAAGAGGTAGACTGGTGGGAGGCTTTAGGTTGCTTGGGGTGTGCCCTGGAAGTGGACTGTGAAACCCTGGTCTCTGCTTTTTCCTGTGCTTTTCATCACCCTAAAGTAGTCACCAGCTTTCTCTATCATGTGTTCCCAGCACGATTTTCGGCTTTGCCATGTCTAGAAACAGTGGGGCCAACTGAACATGAACAGAAGCTTCCAAAACCCTGGGCCAAAATAAACATTTCCTCTTTTTAAGTCAATTATCTCAGTTCTTTTATTACGGTAATGAAAAGCTCATTAACGCAAGCTGACATTTACATTTTGAAAAGGTCACTGACTCAGCGCAGAGGAAGAGATAGATATGGGAAGGTTTAAGGTGGAGAAAGCAGTTAGGATGAAATTGTAGTAGATCTTGCTAAAGTAAATGCAGTCTGTCCTCAGAAAATAGCTGTGCCTACAAGGTTGCATGGAGAGTTATATAAGGGTAGAACTGACATTGTAAAAACTAGGCTTTTTAAGTATTAAGAATTTACCTGCTGTAGATCTGTTAGTAAGTTTCTCAGAATCCTCCGAGTGATTCTAGTCCCGGATTCATTACCTCCCTTGTTATTTTCTGCATAGAGCTGAAAAAGAGCTAGGCACATAAGAGGGGAAAGACATATTTAAATTGAATACTCATATCTTTGAGGGGAGTGTGCTTTGAATTAAGTTTTTGTGGATATGAAGAGAAGACAGCATTATATTCTTGATTATTTGCTTACTCTTTTGAAGGTCTCCCTATCTAGGTAACTGGATAACTACCAAAACCCACTCACATTTCAACCTCTTGATAATTTAAGATCATGAGGTTGGTGAACAGCAATGTGAGAATCATCTTAGTTCTTAATGAATAATGATTAACAGTGTCTGCATAATCCCTAAACAATCAAGTGTCAAGAGCAAACAGAGAATATACACAAGATCTTAACAAATTCCACATTCTCTCAATCTTTACCATTTTTCTTAAATACAACAAGCCTGTCATACTGAGTACATGTTAAAGAACAAGAGTCACATGACAACAATACAGGAGTGGCTGGAGAAGTTAATACCTTGGAGAGGGTGGCAGGGTCACTATACTTCAGAACACACTGAACTCCTGTACTTTACCTCTGTACTTTGTCAGAGGGCTGTCCCCTGAGAGTGCAATGAGGGCCGCGGCTACGGGCAGAAGCTTGAGAACACCCACTCCTGTGCTGCATGGGAACAAATCACAGAGACAAGAAAGGGAAGTGCAGGGTTATTCTACGAGAAATTGATTATAAAAACCAGAACTACTAATGGACACTTCTTACACAGTGTTATATATTCTAGCTTTTCATGGCTTTTTATTTCCTATAGGTAGATTTGACAGAATGAACCACTGAATTCAAATGTTTCACTATTCATTCATTCATCCACTCAACAAATATTTCTGGATGTCTCTCCGTGCTATTCATTGTGCTGGGGACTATGGTTGTATGCTTCACCCCGTCCCAATGGAACAGGCAGTCTCAGGACTCAGGTGCCTGAAAACCAAACAACAAAGGTAAGGACCAAAATAAGCAAAGATGACAACAAAATAAATAAACAAAACCTCTGCTAGTTCACAGGCTCTAGCTCAGAACCTGATCTTCCTTTGCCCACTTGCTCTCTCGTTTACAAACCCGCAGGACATTTTATCAAAGGCAGGAGGGTTGTTAGAGGAAGGCACAATAGCTGAAATGATACTCAAAAGCTTAATGCTGAAAGAGGCAAAAATCAAGAAAGAAATCACCCTGACAGTCTCTTTCTATATTATGCATACAGTTAAAAAGTAAATCACAAACTAGAAAAGAAAATAACCATAAGAAATTTGCTGTGATTCAAAACGGTGCTTGCCTGGGATGTGGGCTTATGGGTAACGTTTTTTATTTATTCTATTGCTCTGCTTTCCAAACACTTCACATTGATTACAATTTTTTAAAAGTTCACTCTAAAGCATGAGGTCGATCAAATCAAGATTACATAAGGTAAACCAAACTGAGGTGAGGCAGAGAAGTATAAAAAGCTATAGCTCAGCGAAACATAACCTACTCCCCCATACAAACTCATGCATGTGTGCACTCTGACTGGCAAAGCCACTCACTCAGAAACACATGTAATTAACTCTTTTCCACGGTCTAAATTAGTTTGTAGGCTGGTCATCCATGCACTGGCTGTTCAACCTTATTCCAGCTAAAAACCAAACCAAAATAGTAACTGATAATGAGTCACAAAGAAATATACTCCTAGGGAGTTGAAACAAAGAGTAATTTTCTATATATATATAATTGCCCTTGAAAAAGGTGTGCATACTTCTCTAGAGGGGAAATGAGTTTGTATAATAGAAAAGAGTAATGTGGAGGGCTATTCTCCCCTTTCTAATGTGTCCTTTATATTAGTGACACTGATAAGCATGCGCTTCTCTGTTCTGGTCCTGAATGAGTAATACTTTTATGGAAAACAAGCAAGCAAATAAAGATGGCTTCTTGTACAGCGAACCTCAGGCAAACATTAGCACTAAGTGGCCAGGAACCAGTGATGACTCAGCATTGCCCTCGAGGTCACCATGTGACATGTCCTCCTCACCTGTCAAACATGGCCATGAGGAGGCTCAAAGTGAGTTCCGAAGCTCTGGGCTGTGCCTGCCCCCGTGTCTCCACCCTGGCTCTCTGAAACAGCTCCTGGAGGGCCCGAAAAAGCTGCGGCACAGAAAGGGAGTGCGCACTGGCCTTCCAGACACGTGGATGGAGTAGGACCTCCTGAACCAGGGTGCTGCTGACCAAGTCCACTGTAGGAAGCAGATGGAGAATTGAGCCTTCAAATAAAGCACATGGCTTCCAGTATTTAAGTAAGAACAGATGATGCCTGCTATGTTCCTTAAAGGGAATTGATTATGACCACTATACGGACACATAATTGTTGTGTGTAATTCAGGTATTACTATTCTGATGGTCAATTTTATTTTGGAAAACTGTTCTTTGAGCTAATAAAGCATAGTCAAAACTTTATTACCAGTGTAATGTCCAGAATTTCATTTTGTAGAATGAAGTTAAAAAGGAACAGAAGTGAGAAACTTGAAAAAAAACAACAACAAAAAAAAAAAAAAACAAAACGCTTCTAAGTAAGCTAAGACCCTGTGGTGATAATTGGGAAAAAAATCTTTTATCTTATGCATTACCTTTCATGTTCAACTCATCTCTTCTGTCTGCAGCCTAGCTTCAGAAGAGGATAGCACGTTAGGATGTTAATTTCCATAGTTAGAATCGCCAGTGATCTTCGTAAAAAGTAGTTGCTGAATTATCAGACTGTTTAGGTACTACTCTTTCCTTAGAAATATCACTTTAAAAAACCTTGGTTCCATCAATAGTATGATCTAGAGAAGGCAGCTAATAACAACTAGAGCTGTTTACAAGAATAGTTTATTTCATATATATATAAAACTTCACATCTTCTAAGAAATTGTACAAGGCAATGAACAGAAAGAAGAATGAAATGGAGCCTACCCTATAGTTTCTCATGGAAAGAGGATGACAGATAAAATTAATAAACACCCCAAATCATCTGAGAGGTGGGGATGTCAAGAAACCGAAGCAGCTGGCATTTAAAATGCCTCAGCCTGTGAAATGATAAAACCCAGCGCTTCTCTCCGCTTCGTAAATCACCCTCGCAGATAAGGATGCTAGCAAGTATAATAAAATTTTTATTTGTTCTCTGATATTGCTTTTAAGGGGAGAGCCTAAGGAACAGAGGAGGAGGTTTTAGGAACGAGGCTTAAATAAAACCTGGCCGCAGGTGGCCGAAGCTGTAAACTTTTATCATTATTTGATCTCAAATCCTATCACCTGGGCTTGGAATTCTGCGTGCAGGCGTTTTTGTCTTCTGCTGAGATTCTGTGTGACAGGAAGACAGATAATGGTGCTGCCCGTTAATCTCACCGCTAGATTTCCTCAGCGATATTCTCCAGGTCGCGCTGCTTGGTACTTATGAGACATCGTTTGGGACTTTTTGTTTTGTTTTAAAATGTTTGACTATTTTTTCTAGGTAGAATTTTCAACCACTGACTCTTAACCACTGTTGTTAATATTTCTCACGACTATTATACTTGCTGTTTCTGATGCCAGGGATAACAAAAATGTACAAATTTAAAACTTTACATTTTCCAATTGTGTCATTCTATATTTTTAGGCATTAATGATGGAGGCCCTTTGCTTTCTTTAAAGGGAGAAAATCTTCATCAAAATAGCATGATTGGGGGTAACGGTGTGTGTGTGTGTGTGTGTGTGTGTGTGTGTGTGTGTGTGTGTGTGTGTTTTACTAGCAAGCGAACCCAGGGTCTTTGCATTGAACTCTATCCCCAGCCCTTATTTTTTGTTTTGAGACAGAGTCTGACTAAGTCGCTAAGGTGCCCAGGCTGGGCTCATGCTGGCAATCCTCCTGCCTCTCCTGGAATAGGTTTTTAATGGGCATGTTCTGTATTTTATTTACCCCCAGAATAAAAAAAAAAAATAGTTATAGTTGAGTTTATTGGTCTAGAGTACTGACTTTAAATATTTTTGTAAAGCCCCAAATTCCTTCCTCAGAGGAAGCTGGTATAGAAACACAGTGTGGGAAATGGGGAAATACAGAGTAGTTCTTGTGGAGGGTGGGATCTGAGGCTTCTGCCTGCCTCCACCCTTCCACCTTGCTGACCTGTTGTTCCTACCTCACATCATGTACACTTTTTGCAGCACAGTTTGAAAACCATCTGTCTTTATAACTCATTAGGTAGAGGGAAAAATGTAAAAATTACAAAAATTGGAAATTACATATATATTAACTTCTTTTAAGTCTGCTATAAATGTCAGAAATTATTTCACATGAAGTGCTTTTTTAATTCAGTAAAGAACATGAATAATTAATAACTTTAGATGTATTGAGTACTTGAATTTATTTCATTTTGGAGAATTTCTACTGGGAATTTTCCCAGGTACTATATTTTACCTAGAAAACAGTAGAAGAAAAGAAAGTGATGGTATGCAATCAGATATAAATTTAATTCAAAAGGGCAGTTCTCAGAATTCTCTAAATGATTTTAAAATTCATGGCCTAAATATCTTTTATTTAAACCTACCTTCGTTTGGTCAGCTATAGATAGGAAGTACAATTTGAACATTCAATTTGAAATTTTAATTTTTAATTTTTTAACTTAAATCTGTGAGTACAGATTCTTAACTTACTTTTTTGGTAATTTTACTTTACACTGATATTAGTACCCTGAAAGGAAAAGCCAAAAAACAAAAATGTTTCTAGATGCCAAATAGAAAAAATTAAAAAATTAAATCCTCATCCACAGTCATTTCCTATTGTGAGTCATAAAGCACATAATGACAGCCTCCACACAGCCTCCCAACACACCCCTCAGCCCCTGTTACAAATGAGCTCAGTGCAGAGATCCAGCCTTCTAGAACCCAGCAGCTCCCCGCGTGGGGATGGAGAAGTTCTGGTTTCTGTGTGAATCTTACAGCGCACATCATCACAGTCAGGTACTTCAACAGTTTCAAGAGCACTTGTACTTACACTGGCATAGAGTTTGCACTGATCGTAATTTGAAGGCTGTTCTGTAAATGGAATTCTCACTACTATGAGGAGTGTCTGTAAAGAAAATATAAAATAATATGGGTAAGGGATTGTCTTATTATATAAATCCCACGTCCTAAAAGAAAATCTTAAAGATCGTGTAGCCCCCAGTGAAGATGGAGCGCTTTCTTTTCTATCCACAAAAAATAGTGTAATAATATACTTGTGGTCTCCTAGGGCTGGAAGTGACCCTAAGAGTACCCTTTGAATCTATCAAATAGAGGAGTTCACCAAAAACTGCAGAGTCCTCCTGCATCCATCTTTTCCAATACTGCAAAAAACTGTAGACTATAACTGTAGACTTTGCTAGTATATTCCAGTCTTATGTGTATACATATATTTATGAATGTGTGAAAAAGACCCAAAAGCTGTGCAAAATTTTAATTAACTCTTAGGACATAATCCTGATATGATTCCAGGTCTTTCAAACATAGCAGATATAAATCATGACTCTTGTGGGTTTTAACTATTAAGGATACCCACCTCATTAACAAATACTGAAACTGTTGGTGATTTTGATTATTTTTTACTTATCACCATTATCTAAATTGTCTGTAAAGGATATTTATTATTTTTATAATAAAAAATTATTAGTATATATTTTAAAATTTAAAATAATTGCCTTTATTTTTTATTTCAAAGAGAAAAAATAAAATTTCAAAACAATAATAGGAGGGTAACAATGGTTAATATATTGTATATTGTTATCTTTAAATTAGTTATTCAGAGTACAAGATACCAGCATTTAATTGTCTAAACAATAGTAGCACAAACTTTTCTTTTCAATGAACTAAGAGAAATTAGTAGTATAACTATATTAACTATCATATATTCCTTCTTTTCTCCATTCCCTCATCCCAGTTTCTCTTTTCTTTTGAAATGTCTTCCCATTTTACAACATCTACTGTGTATTTTGGATCTTATTTACTCTTTCAACTTCTAACACTAGGGAGACAATACAATGTTTACACATATGCATCTGGTTTATTTCACTTATGAGTATGGTCTTGAGTTGCATCCATACTTTTTTCCAGTGAGTATGTCTGGCACTTTTGTCAGACATAAGGTGGCTGAATACATCAGGAGTTGTTTCTGCTGCTTCACATCTGTTTCATTAATCTTCATATCTGGTTTTTTTTTTTTTTTTGCCAGTACTTTGCTGTTTATGTCACAGTACTACTACTAGGTAGTAGTATAATTTCAAGTAAGGTATTGTGATGCCCCCCGCCTTGCCTCTGTTGCCCAAAATTGCCTTTACTATTCTAGGTCTCTTCTGGGTTTTTTTTGTTTGTTTGTTTTGTTTTTTTGGGGTTTTTTTTTTTTTTTGGTTTTTGGTTTTTTCCATTACCAGGAATTGAACTCACGACCTTGCGCTTGCCAGGCAGGTGCTATGCAGCTGAGCTAAACCCCCAGCCCCTCTAGGTCTCTTCCGGTTTCAAATGAATTTTAGGATTTTTTTCTCTAATTTTGTGAGATATGCTGTTAGAATTTTGATGGGAATTAAGTTAAATCTGTATAACAGTTTTGGAGGTATGGCCTTGTTCACTATATTTGTTCTTTCTACTGAAGAGCAAGGGGAATCTTTCCATTTTCTGATATCCTCTTCAATCTCCTTTTGCAGAGTACTGTAGTTTTCAAGGTAGAGTTATTCTACATTCTTTGTTAAATTTTTTTTGTTTTTGTTTTTGAGACAGGTCTCACTATGAAGTTCAGGCTGGCCTTGAGCTCACTTTGTAGCCCAGGCTGGTCTCAAACTGACAACAATCCTCCTGCCTCAGCCTCCCAAGTGCTGGGATTACAAGTGTGCACCAACACACCTGGCTCACTTTCTTTGTTAGATTGATTCCTATATATTTCATCTTTTTGGATGCTATTGTGAAAGGTGTTGTTTCCCTAATTTCTCACTCAGTGGGCTTATTATTCACGTATGGGAAGGAAACTGATTTTTAGTGTTGACTTGTATCCAGTTAGTTACTGAATTTGCTTATTAAATTAGCAGTGTTTCAATGGAGTTTTGGGGATCTGCTATATAGAGTATCATGTCATCTGCAAATAATGATAATTTAACATCTTCATTTCCTATCATCATTCCTTTTATTTCTTTCTCTTGTCTAACTGCTCTGGCTAAAGTTTCCAGGACTATGTTTAATAAGAGTGGAGACAGTGGACATTCTTGTCTTGTTCCTGATTTTATACAGAAAGGTTTCAGTTTGTGTCCATTTAGTATGATGTTGGCTGTTGGTTTGTCATAGGTGGCTTTAATCAGGTTGAGATAAAGACCATCTATTGAAATTTTTTGTAGGGTTTTTATCATGAATGAGTGCTGAACTTTGTCAAAAGTTTTTTGTGTATCTATTGAGATGATCATATGTGTTTTGTCTTTGGCTCTGTTAATATGGTGTATTACATTTGTTTGTTTTTGTTTTTGTTTTTGTTTTTTTCTGGTACTGCGAATCAAACTCAAGACCTTGCGCTTGCCAGGCAGGTGCTGTGCAGCTGAGCTAAATCCCCGGCCTCTACATTTGTTGATTTACATATGTTGGACCATTCCTGCATCCCTGGGATGAATCCCACTTGGTCATGGTATATAATCTTCTCAATGTTTGCTACATTCTGTTTGCTGGTATCTTAATGAGGAATTTTGCATCTATGTTCATTAGAGAGATTGGCCTGTAGTTCTCTTTCTTACCTTGGTCCTTTTCTGATTTTGGTAACAGGATAATGCTTGTCTCCAGGAATGAATTTGGGAGTATTTCTTCCCTTTCAATTTTGTTAAATAGTTTGAGAAATAGTGGTGTCAGATCATCTCTATATTTCTTGTAGAACTCATCAGTAAATCCATCAGGACCTGGGCTTGTCTTTGTTGATAGGTTTTTAACTACATCTTTGATTTCATTGATTAATATTGTTTATTTAGGATTTTTATATCTTCTTGATTCAGCTTTGGTAATTCACATATACCTAGAATTCTGTCCATTTCTTCTGTATTTTTGATCTTAGTAGAATACAAGTTTTCAACATCGGTATGGATGATATTCTGGATTTCTGCAGGGTCCATTGGGATTTCACCCTTTTCATTCCTAATTGCATGGATTTAAGTCTTTTCTTTCCTTTTTTGGATAAGCTTAGATAAGGGTTTGTTAATCTTTCAAAGAACTGACTCTTCTATTCATTCAGTCTTTGTATTGTTTTCCTAGTCTCCAGTGCATTAATTTCTGCTCTGAACTTTATAATTTTCCCCCTCATACAAGCTTTTGGCTTAGCTTGTTCTTTTTTTTTATAGAAGTTTGAGGTTCACCATTAATTTGTGCTTGCTCTGTTTTCCTGATGTGGACCTTTACTGCTGTAAATTTCCCTTCCAGAACTGCTTCCATTGTGCCCCAGAAGTTCTGATATGTTGTACTGTCATTATCATGTAATTGTAGAGACTGTCTCATTTCTTCAATTTCATCTATGACCCATTGATTGTTCAGGAGGGTGCTATTTAATTTCCATATGTTTATGAAGTTCTTGTGGTTTCTTTCGGGATGTATTTCCAATTTCACAGCGCTATGGTCTGATAATATGCACTGGATAATTTCAATTCCTTTGTACTTACTTAAGCATGTTCTATGAGCTACAATGTGGTCTACTTTGGAGAACATCTGTGTGAAGCTGAGAAGAACATGTATTCTGATGTTGTGCGGTTGAATACTCTGAAGACATCTACTAAGTCCATTTGTTCAAAAGTTTGGTTCAATTCTAATATTTCATTGATTTTTTGTCTAGCTGATCTGTCTTTTTGTGACAGTGGGGTATTGAGATCCCCCAATATAATTGTATTAGTGTTTATTTGATGTTTTTGTGTCCATTAATATTTGCTTTATATATTTGGGTGCACCGGTATTTATTACATATATATTTATGATTGTTATCTCTTCCTCTTACATTTTTTTTGTTTGTTTTTTTTCCAGTACCAGGAATTGAACTCACTATATTGAGTTCGATTGTGCTTGCCAGGCCGGCACTGTGCTGCTGGGCTAAATCCCCAGCCCTCTCTTCCTCTTGGATTGTTCCCTTGACAAGGAGGTAGTGACCTTTGTTGTCTCTCTTAATCAGTCTTGGCTTGAAATTCACTTTGTCTGCAATAGACTAGGTACCCCTATTTTTTCCTGGGTTTCTGTCACATGGAGCACTGTTTTCCATCCTTTGACTTTCAGTCTATGAATTTCTTTTTTAATTAAATGAGTTTCTTGTATACAGAACATCATTGGATTTTGCTTCTTGATCCATTCTGCCAGTCTGTGTCTTTTGATTGGTGAATGGAGACCATTTACATTGATGATTATAACTGATATAGATTGACTTATCATTGTCTTGTTATTTTCCTATTATTGGCTCCCCCTCTTTTTTCCTCCCTCTGTTTAATTGTTTGCCTTGCTGGTGGATTCCTTCTGTTGGGGTTCAGGGAGTTGTAGTCCTTGTTATCTCTTTCTAGAATGTCCTTCAAAACATTTTGGAGTGCTTGATAGTTGTGTTTGGCATTTTTTTGCAAGGGGAAACAATATAATACTGGACACATATTCTATAATATTATTCATAATAGTCACCCAAAGTATCATATACAAGAGAGTACAGGAAATCTGTCCACACCCTAAAGACCCAAGAATCCAACTGATGACCTGGATCCCACGATAATGTCCTGCATGAGTTCAGCTGAAGACCTGGGGCCTATAACAATGTCTCCCACGAGTCCAACTGGAGGCCTAGAGCCCATGATAATGTCTCATGCAGGTCTGTTTCATGTATCTGTGCTAGGAAGGGCCCAAGGGTCAGTGGTGGAATCTCGAAAGTGTGTGAAAGTATGTGCCAGTAGGATGAAGGAACTGTGCTAGCAGGCTAGGGGATCTACACTGGAACCAGGAAGTGATGCTCAAAATAAGAACCGCAGCTCCCCCAGAAAGTACCACAGCCATACTCAGCAACAGTGAGGTCCCGAGCTTCTCCGAGGTTCAGGACACCTGAGTTCTGAACAG